AGCTATTAAATACGGTGCAATCCTTAAGTTTAGCATCCTTCTTTTAAATAGGTAGTAAGGAAGGCCCTACTATTAGTTTAGCAGTAGTTATTAGAGACTCCTAGAGGCGGCGAATCTCGAGGAGGTTATCCTTTAGCTATTGTTCCTAACGCAGGGTAGTAAGCCTACTTTAAGTAGCTTCTTAAAGTCTTGCTATTAGCTAGGGGCTAAAGGCTAGTTAGCTATATCGACGATTAACAATATTGTTAAGAATGTCGTTAATAGGCAATTCTAGATTATTATCTAGAATTATAGGTTCTTTATTAATAGGCTCTGTACTACTAGTGTTATTATTACTAGCGCTGCTAGCGGCACTACGGTTGTTGTTTCGTTACTTTCGTAAAGAGCTAGCTATTGTAAGGGGTAATACTAATAATGTATTATAGGCCCCTATAATGCGGATATAGCGGAATTAGTAGATATCGGTCTAGTACGATTAACTCGGTGTAATAGGCCGTATAGAAGGCCTTGCTTAATAATTAGTACGGTTGTTTAAGTAGAATAGTACGTATAGGTCCCGTTCTTCGGGCGCAATATAGTTAAATTAGTCTTGTTCGTAGCTATACCGCTAAAAGCTTGAAATAAGGACTATCTAGCTGCTGCCCTTAAAGGGTAGATCGAATACTATATAAGAAGGGTTATATTAGCAGGTAGATAGGGTAGTAGTAAATTAGTGTAGTATTCGATAGAGATCTTAGAGGAGAGGGAGGAAGGTAGGCTAGTTAGCCTAACGCTAAGCGCTAAGCCCTGCCTAAGGCATTAGGACCCTAGCTTTACTCGAGCTAGTTACATACTAATTACGTGTAGCCTCTAACATACCTATTCTAGCTAATATCGCTTCGTAGCAATAACTGCTATTTAAATTGCGGCTAGAGCCCTTCTAGGTTAGTAAGGACAATAGAAGCACTTACTAGCCGTTAATTAATAACGTATAGTATGCTAATAGCGCTTACCTTATGTCCGCCTCTAAGTATATACGTATCTTTAGCTTTAAATATCGCCTTAGTTGCAAATAGTACGCCTTATAGGCTAACAAGTCGAAGAAGTTAAATAATAAGAGGCTTCGTAATACTAATAAGGACCGTAACCTCTATAAGGCGCGACTAAAGGTTAAGGTATTATATAAGCCCTATAACGAGACTAATCCTACTAGCAACCTCGTTAAGAATAGCAAGAAGGAGTTTAAGCGTATTAAACCGGTTAAATACTAGTTTTCGTACTAAAGTAGGGATTAGGCGCCTTATAACTATTCTCTCGAGGTTTCTAACCGTAACAAGTTGAATTCCTTCTAGCGGAAGGTAGTTAGTAAGGAGAGGTAAAAGGGCTATAGGGCGGCGGAGGTAAAGGACAATATAATAGGCAAAAACGCCCCTAGGCAATATAAGGTCCTTAAGGCTTCCGGAGGCCTTAGCTTTAAGCAAATATACGTTCTTAATAGCGCTCGAGGCTTCCGCAAAGTATACCCTAATATTCGGTATACTAGCGGTCGATTAAGTACCTCGGTATAGTTATTAGAGTTAAGAGATTAGTTATTAGAGTATAAGTTATTATTTCCTCGAAGTATTAAGAATTAGAGGTATTACTACTAAGCTTTTAAAAGCGGTTTAGTATATGTCTTAGCGTATCCTCTAAGTAGCTAATCGGTACGGGACTACCCTTTCTTAGATATTATCCTCTCTATTTTCCGTATTTAGAATCTTCCTCGAATACTAACTTATAATAACAATAGTATAATACCTATACGAATACGTCGAAACTAAGCATTATTAAAGTAGCGCCGATACTATTAGATACGTATTTACTAAACCTAAAAGACTAGAGCTTCTACAAAAATATAGGCGGCTTTGTTTAATAGATTCGACTTATAAGACGAATTTCTTAGGTTAGAAGCTATTTACTATTATAGTACGCGATACTACCGGTTCTTAGCGCTACCCCTTCTATTTTCTTACGGTCTACGGAATACGAAGACGGCGATATTATATTACTATATATACTTATCGTTAAGAGATAGTATTAAGAAAATAGTATACGGTAGACTTCTAGGTACTAGGTTATAGACGATAGCGGAGCTAAATAGCGGGCGGTTAAAATCGCGATTCTAGGCCTTATTATAGGCGAGATAGAAGTTACTTATTATCTCTACTATAAGTACGTCGATACTATACTCCGCGAGCGCTTTAAGGCCGATAAATATAAGAAGACTCTAGATTATATACTAGTTATATTAAAATTTAGAAGAACGGAGCCTAGTTATAACGACTCGATAAATAAAGCTATTAATATCCTTCCGCGCGACCTCTACGGCTAACCTAAGCGAGAACAGCTTAAATATATTAAGAACGAGTTTATTAAGACTAAGCGAATATAGGCTAATTTTGTATAAGAACACTTACCTCTATATAGATAGATTAAGACTACTAATCTATTAGAAAGCCTATATTCTTATCTAAAGAAGGGGGACCTTAAACGCGCTATAGTAGCGTTCTTACTAAAGGGCATTGCTATCTACGTCGATAACGTAGCGAATAGCTTCGACTATAGGGCTAATATTACCTTTTATAGCTTCCGCTTAAAGATATACCTAACTGTCTACTCTAATAAATAGTTAAAGCCGCTTCCTTACCCTATCTAGGCTAGACCCCGTAGTAGTTCGGTTTGCGAACTATAAAACGTATATAGTTTGGTTTCTTAGCGGTACCCCTCCGGTTTAGTTCCGGTTTAGTTTTTTACCCCGCTAGTCTAAGCTAGTTTCCGAGAAAATCTAACTAAACTACGACGATATACGACGATATATAACGACGGTCGGACGACCTCGGATCGGGTCCGGAGGCCCTCGGGGGCCCTATATTATATACGCTATATAATTGCATCTATGTTTCGGGCTATTTAGACGTATTTTAGGTTAGGTTTTTGTCTGTAGCCGGCACGTAGCCGGCAAACCGGTCCGTATACCGGTTCCTTAGCAAACTAAACTAAACTCAACTAGAATTTCGGCTTAGCAAACTAAACCAAACTAACCCGAACTACTGCGGGGTCTAATCTAGGTACTTATTGCTAGCGAGATTACGCTCGGTAAGCTAGAATTTAATACTAGCAATATTAGAGACCTTAATAACTATAATTTCTCTAAGTGCGCCTTCTACTAGAAGTATTAGATTATATGCCGCTATATCTATATGTGGAACAAGCTCTATAATAATCTCTCGGCCGAAGACTATACTACGTAGATATAGGATTAGTAAAAGAGCGGCTTCGAGTTATACTTTACTCGAGAGCGTATTATTATTAACCTAGAGCCGGAGATAATAATAAGACTAGAGCGACGTACTATCGAGATAAAGGAGTAGGTATTTAATATCCGAGAACGCTTCTATAACCTCTATAAAGAGTTAGCTAATAGTATAGACGACGATATAGCCGATAAAGCACTTACTAAGTAGTTGTCTCGAATATAGGCGGCTATAGACCCTATTATTGCCCTCTTAGTCGCTAAGCTAGTTATAGAGGTTTAGTTACTCGGCCTTTAGGTGCCGCTAGCACTATTACTTCTATAGCTATATTAGATAGCAACTGTACCGATAAGCTCCTATAATTAGTTGCTATAAGATACGTCGTCTATGCCGTAGTATTTACTTACTTAAGTAACGCGTAGTAATAGTAGTAAGAGGTCGAGAAACGCGTAGAATAGGGCGGCGGCGGCGGCGGCGGCGGCGGCGGTCGTAGTAGATAATAATACCTTAAATTAAGCGATATTGCTATACTATACGTAGGCTTTAGCTTTATTATTATAGTATATAATAGCGAGGTTAGAGGGTAGTAAAGGCGAGAGGAAACGCGTAGTTTGTTTACTAAGATTTAAAACAGTAGAAGGTGCTAATAATAGAATCTATGTCTCGTAATCTCCGGTTCTAGTAGACCTACTCTATTCTCCTTATATATAACACCGTCGTTTAGCGTCTGCCGGAAATAGCTAGTAGCGGGGACGCACATTTAATACCGTACGACTAGCGTTCCTAAATAGGATGTTTGTTTAAGGTTTGTTTACTTCTCGGTATATATATATATATCTTCCGGTCGCGTTCTTTCTCTCTCCTATATTAACCTCGCTATTGTAAGTACCGTCCCTCCCTCTATCTACTACTAATTTTAACGCGTAGGACGATATATATCGCAGACGCGGTATATATATCTCGCGTAGGGGTCCCTTTCCGGCATTTTAGCCGGGAAATTTGACCTCGCTGTCGCTATTTTTGTCCGCTCCGCCCTCCCCCTCTGCTCCGCCCTCCCCCTCTACTCCGCCCTCTCTCTCTACTCCGGGGCAAAGAATGGTAGGGGCCCCTGCTAGCCGAGACCGTCGGGCGGAGGGGACCCCCCGAAGGGAGGGGAGGCGCTGCCCGTAAGGTATGCTCGAGGCGTAGGGGTGCTATTCTACGCGAGATATAGGCCCCTTCCGCCGGAGGCTATTAGCATCTTTGTTTTTAAAAGCGTTGCGAATGAATGTGTGTCAAAAGTGACGTATATGTCGTAAATCTCGTCCAATTCATTCACCTACCTCCGTATTCTATAGCAGGTTGCCCTTCGCAACGAGCGTGGGGGTCAAAAGTCCGTGCATGCGGTATTAAATTTGGGCCCGGCAGCGGCCCTTCCTACTGCGCTAACGGAGGGGGTAGCATTGCGAAGTCCTCCTTGCACACGTTACACCGATAGGTCTCAAAATACGAGGATGTGGTACTTTCTGGCGGGTTGTTTGCCTCGCGGCAGTCATCACTCCTGCTTCCGGCGGAACAGCGCCACGCCGCTCTCGTCTTGTCACCAGGAATGACTTTTATACGAGTCTTTGGGTCATATGTCATATGTGCATTATTGCCACGACCGAAAAATAGAAATGATCCATGAATAGCACGGGCATATAAGAGAACAGGTAAGGACGTAATCATCATTGACCTCAGTGTCCAGCAACAACCTTCAGCATTGTACACATCCCGCCGACCACTTCGGAGAAGATTCCAACGAACGTTGCAAAAACATCCACCGATCACAATGAAGTCTTTCATCGCCATCACCCTCGCCGCTGCTGCGAGCGCCGCAGCTATGCCGGCGCCAGTCCCTCAAGCCGGCACCAGCTCTCCTCAGCCATTTCTGGGCCAAGCACTTGCTGAAGGCACAGCAATTCACCAAATGTTTATCAACGCGAATGGTCTAAAATTCTGGATCGGCAAGAACACCACAACATATTGCCCAGAAGACTCAGTAGCAGCAGATGCATGCGCGACCGCGAACAAGAACCAGACCATCTTTGGATACCTCAATGGAGAGTCCCAGCTGCCGCTGTTGACTCAAGTGCCAGGCGGCCAGCTGGCATATGTCACCGCGGGCGATCAGACGGCTGGAATACTTGCCGGTGAGCTGAGGTTTACCCCGGCACACTCTGGCCGGACCAACGGCCCTGCTCTGTACGATGGGTTCTTGAATGTGTACGATGCGAAGCTGCAGTTTGAGGGGAAGGATTGGTTTGCTTGCCCAGTCGATGAATTCAACACTGGGTACGGCATCTGGGCTCAGAGTCGTGTGGAGGCATCACAGGCAGGCGAAGGTTGCATCTGCTTTACATGGCACGTTTACCAGCTCGCCAACGACGTCGTCAAGGCATGGCAGTATTTGTAGATGAACGCTCTGAATTGCGTGGCGCAGCGTAGTAGCATCGTGGGTTGATTAGAAGAACCATGGCATTGTAGATTACTTCACGCTTCAGCATGTTCAAATTCACATCTAGCCAAGTTACTTTTGTCTTTGTACCTCGTTTCAGTCGACAGCGCATCAGCACTTGCAATCTGTGATGCCAAGGCATACAAGTATTCTATGCCAAGTGCTTCGGAACAAGCGACATCAGCACGTGATGCGTGGCGCTGGCGTTGGCGTTTCTCGGCGATTCGAGATTACATGACATTTCGTGGCCACTGCTGCCTTTGCTCATCATCTCAAACATCGACGAGACATCGTTCCGTCTCTCAAGCACACCCTCCAGCATCGCATGCCACCTGGCTCACTGCACTGCACCATGATCCAGCCGGACACCTTCCAATAAACGCCCTCTTCCCATCAAACGAACCACGAAGCCACGATGGCGTCTTCCGAGCCATCGCCAGAACAGCGTGAGCTGACTCTTGTTGGCAAAGTTGAGATGCGGATTGCGCTCACGGATACGGACAGCAAGCTCGAAGCAATCCTCAAAACGTACCTGGCTCCGCTGCTCTTGAAACTTGCATCACCACATGAAAGCGTTCGGAAAAAGGTCATTACCATATGCCAGCACGTCAACACCCGAGTGCAGCCGCAGTCGATCCAGCTCCCGGTTGCAGCTCTGATCAAGCAGTTCAAGGAGCAAGAAAGCCCTCTAATTCGACACTTCGACCTGCTCTATATCCAGCAGGGTGTCGTGAGGCTTTCGAATGCGGACAAGGCTGAGCTCCTGCCAATAGTGGCAAACGGTATAGCCAAGTCTGGCACGCAAGCACCTCAGATCTTTTACTTGCTTCTGAGAGCATTGGGCTCGTATCGGATACCTCAGCGTGGCAGTAAAGAAGATGCGGAGTTGCGGCGGACCCTCGACATCTCCGATGAAGATGCTCGATATTTGGTATCAAAGCTTGGCAAATTCATTCTGTTCACGCCACAGCGGGCTGGGAACGCTGCTCCAAGCCCGGGCCTTACAAGAGAAGATCATGACTTCTTCAACGTTGACAGCAAGCCAGACGTTTGGAATCCAGCTGCAGGCGGATTGAACCTCATGCAAACAAAAGCTCTGTGTGCAAGATTACTTGCTAGCGGGCTCTTCAATGATGCAGAGCGCTTCCTACCTGCTCTATTTGCTTCTGCTGATCCGGCTTCGTCGATCGGTGATCCAGGCGACGACATGATGAAGCGCGCCTTACCGGCTACTGATCTGGAGGACGAGTACTTGGTCAAGCAATTATTCAATCTCTACTTTGGAGAGGGTACTGCACCTCGAGTGAAAGCTCCACTTCGTTTGAAGATTCTCAATCTCCTGGGCAAATCCATGAAAAGCACTACGTTTGACAACAATATCACGAGGATGGTTGACGATGGCGTGAAGTCAGCACCATCTGAAGGCGCCGATACTGCGATGACCAACGGACTTCCCGAGTAAGTCTTACCCTCCAAGCTTGCATCCGTATTCTGTGCATGTACAAGTTTTTGGTAAATTGCTTGTAGCAGGGCAAAAGTCGCTGACCGCGCGCTCTCAGGACGAACAGCATCGGCAGAGAAGCTACCAAGCTTCGGACAGCTATATTTCAATACATCAATTTTGTTGCACGACACGGATCGAGGGAGACTTTGCACGCTATTGCTCCGATAGTGGTTGCTCGACTGCGAGACTTCATCGAGAATCAGGGTTGGCCCAAGCCGGGCTTGAGCGAGGATCTGGTCTCTCGAGCATATGCGTACGAGGTGATTGGCCTCCTGGCCAAGGCTGGGCCGCGGACGCTACTAGTGGAAAGTGAACACACCTCTCTCGACTTGCTTCGCTGGTTGTTCGACTCATTAGCTCGCGATTCCTCTGGCAACTCGATTACGGTGAGCATAGAAGAATCTCTTTCAACTATTCTCGGTGCCATGAGCACACGATTTGAGCTTGAGAGGCACGAGCAAGAAGTCCTCGAGGACCTTCTGATTGATCAAATGCGGTACTCAGCTTCCCTAGAGGAACATCAACGTTTACGGAGCACAAGATATGTCGCAGTCAGATTCGCAAACAGGTGTCTACCCTACGCCTCCGTGAAAGCTCGATGGGTGGACATTCTGGCTATAGGTGCCACCTCTGACAGACCGGAAGTCCGTGAGGAGGGAGAGCGTGGTCTCAGTCCACACTGGTACCGCATGTTGAACGGCTCGAATGTAGACTCGGCCCCTGCCTTAGACTTTCCCGCTTTCGAAGGTGTCATCTCCGAATTCTTCGTCCGACAGACAAGCATCACGAGCTCCGACGCGGCAGTTATTGCTCAGAAAGCGAAAGAACTTCACGAGTCTGCATTCCCTGCCATGACAGCTTTCGCTCGGCGAATGCTGTTCCACGAAGCTTTTCGTGACGCAAGCATCGCTGTTAACCTCGACAGCGAATGGGAGAAGAAGATCGATGCAATGCTCGAATCAGATATGCCAGCAAGAAGAGCTGGGAAAGCGCATCTAAAGAGCGTTGCGTCTCAGCAGCCAGTCCTCGTTGATGTCCTGATGAACGCTCTATTCGAGTGCGTGTCCTCTAAGAGCTTATTTGCGGAAGACCATTTGGTGGAGTTCTTGGCGCTCAGTCCGGATGTTCTTGTCCAGAAGCACGTTGGACGGACCGAGTTTCTCCTGACCTTACTCAAATCCAATCACCATGGTTGTCGCATGACTGCAGCGCACGCATTTGGCATCCTGGCTTCGCATCCAAGCGCAAGAGCCCAGCAACAACTTGCACAGCTCTTGGAAGTATCCCAAACATATGCCACGGCCGTCGGCGCTGCCTTAAGCGCCGTCCACGGGTCGATCGTCGCCCTGTCCTTTTTCTATGCTAGAGCAGCCTATCGAAAGCAAGAACGACAACCCTCTGACCAGTTGACGAGCTACCTTGGCGTCCTCTTCAGGGCATTCACAGATGGAGGAGACGGCCTACTGCAAGAAGCAACCCATATCGCGATCGGCCAAATGAGTATGTTTGGCTGTCTCGAAAGCCAGACAATTAGCGAGTATTCAAGCGTAGCGAAGGTATCCGAAAAGCTGTATCAAAAGGCGAAGGACGGGAATGAGATTGCTATTCTCTCTCTGGGGCAGCTTTCGATGATTCTCCCAGAAGACAGCGAAGATCTCTCGAGTATCGAGGATCATCTGCACAAACTTCACGAAATTCGGCAGTCCGAGGTCCATTTCACGGTCGGAGAAGCGCTGAGCTATGTGGCTTCCGGCTGGCAGTCTGAAGCTCTGGCTACTCAAATCGACATTGACATCGATGCGGAAGTAAAGTTGATACAGAAGAGATCACAAGTTCTCCCCAAGCTGTTGGACAAGGTGTTGGCAGACTGTGCGAACACCAAACCTGCGCTGAAAAAAGCTGCGGTCATGTGGCTCCTCTGTCTGGTGCAGTACTGCGGCAGAGATGTTCAGGATCGACTTTCTGAATGTCAAGCTGCCTTCAGGCGCTGTCTCTCCGATCGGGATGAGCTGGTGCAGGAATCTGCATCCAGAGGACTTGGCTTGGTGTATGAAAAGGGCGATCGGAAACTCAAAGACGATCTTGTCCGCGAGCTTGTGTCTTCGTTCTCTTCCGACAAGCAACAGCTCTCTGGCAATGTGTCCGCGGACACTCAGCTTTTCGAGCCCGGCGCACTTCCCACAAGTGATGGTTCCGTATCGACTTATAAAGATATCATGAGCCTGGCAGCAGAAGTCGGAGACTCCAGTTTGGTGTACAAGTTCATGTCGATGGCCTCTTCAAATGCCATCTGGTCCAGTCGAGCAGCCTTTGGACGGTTCGGACTCAGCCGAGTGTTATCCGACTCTTCTGTCGATGGCTACCTCGCTCGCAATCCGAAGCTTTATCCGAAGCTCTTCCGATACCGATTCGATCCAAATGGCGGCGTTCAACGATCGATGAATGAAATCTGGACTGCGCTGGTGCCTGACTCGGCTGCAACGATCGACCAGCACTTCGACGCCATCATGGAAGACCTACTTTCCAGCATTCTTGGCAAGGAATGGAGAGTCCGACAAGCCTGCTGTGCGGCAATCGCAGATCTTGTGCAAGGACGCCCTCTTGAGAAGTATGAACAATACCTGGAGCGTATCTGGACACAGTGCTTCAAGGTGCTCGACGACATCAAGGAGTCTGTGCGAGCCAGCGCTGCTCTATTAGCACGGACTCTGACCGGAGTCCTTACGCGCTCACTTGAGGCCGACCACAGTGCAACGAAGAATGCGTCGGCCATGCTCAAGCACGTCCTACCTTTTCTCCTATCGCCATCCGGCATGGAGTCCAGCGCCAAGGAAGTGCAGCTGTTCTCGGTACATACGCTGCTTGAGATTATCAAGAAAGCTCATGGCTCGACGCTGCAGCCTTACATTCCTGAGCTTATCGAACGCCTGATTGGATTGCTGAGCTCGCTTGAGCACGAGGCGATGAATTATATTCATCTCAATGCTTCCAAGTACAACCTGACGGAACAGAAGATCGATGACATGCGACTGTCGAGCGTACGGAGTAGTCCTCTCATCGAGGCCATCGAGCGCTGCCTGGATCTCCTGGATGAGGCCAGCATGCGACAGCTCTGGCCCCGACTCTCAAATGCCATGAAGAGCGCGGTTGGTCTGCCATCGAAGGTGGGATCGAGTCGGGTGCTGGTTTCTTTGAGCACTAGGCGCATGGTTTTGTTCCGCGCCTTTGCGGACGACGCTCTCAAGCTGATGGAAAGGCTTGTGGTGGATCGCAATGACACAGTGTCCAGTTCTTACGCCGCCGCAGCTGGGTATGTTGCTCGTGGCGCTTCGGACAAGCAAATCTCTCGATTGATCGCCTTCGCAAAGAAGCTGTATTTCGCGTCGGAGGGCGATCGCGAGTCTTCCACGCCGCGCAGGAGCATCGCATCGGGCGAAGTGATGTACCACTTTGCGAAGCAGGCAGGCGACAGGTTCAAGGCATTTGCCACGTCGATCCTGCCATTCATTTTCGTTGCGAAGCACGATGATGATGAGCAAGTCAAGGAACACTTCCAAGACACGTGGAACGAAGCGGTTGGTGGCTGGCGCGCGGCACAAGTGTACATGAAGGAGATTCTCGCAATCTGCATGAACTATCTCGACTCCCCACAGTGGGCACTGAAGCACGCGGCTGCGCGAGCGGTCGCTGATACCGTCGTGGCCGTCTCATCGGGCGAGTCTCCGATGTCCGCAGCGAGCGGAGCTGCCCTGTGGCCTGCCATCGACAAAGCGCTGGGCGGCAAGACATGGGATGGAAAGGAGGTGGTCCTTCGTGCATTCGTCCAATTCGTGGAGGTCGCCCAACCCTTTTACCAAGATCAGGAGAGTGTGCGCTCCAGCATGATCAAGGTATGTGTGCTTGTGAGCTGAGCAGCCCCCGAGACTCCGAGAGCATATCAAGTTCAAGCCATGCGCTAACACCAACATGCCAGGTCGGCATTCGAGAAGCCAAGCGCCAACATGCAGCATACCGGCAACACTCGGTCAAGGCGCTGGCTCGAATCGCGCTGGCACGCAGCGATATCGACATGCACGATGCGGTCTTCGACATTGTCGATCCGATCCTGCGCGAGACACGCGACGAAGATGCCACGCAGATGGACGGACAGGAGACTTCTCGCCACTCGGAAGAGACGTGAGTACATGCACCCCTCTCCACTCCACGGGGGCCACACGTGGTATGGATGGCGTTGCCGAACTGACATGCCCACAGCAGGGACGCCACGACGGCAGCCGCCATCGAGGCCCTTTTCGCTTCGATCAATGCGCACGTGTCGGACGGCAACATGCTCCTCCGCCAGCTGTCTCGAGCGATGCACGAGGTGGCGACGACCAATGCACAGGCAGGCACGAAGCCGTCCATCCTGCGCAGCACATTCGAAGGCGTGGCGCGCACATTCGCTCGCGTGCGGGAACAGAAGCGGGAAGTGACGCTGGACGCCCCCGCCACTGACGCGCTCAAGACGCTGCTATTCGGGCCGGTTGTGGGCGTGGAAGCAGTCAGGCTGATGCGCGCCGATGCGATCGTGTCTGCCGCGAGGGCGTTACCGTCGGTGGGGGACGCGATGAAGGAGGAAGTGTCGGTGCTCATGGCAAGCGAGACGTCGTCGGCCGTTCGAGAGCGTCTGCGTGCTGCGGCAAACGCGTGCGAGGCGTGGGCGTGAGACGCGAGGCGCAGGCTGGAGCGTACCGAGCCGCGACATCCTGGTCTTTCACGTGGCCTAGGCTCTCGATCAACAAACTCTAAATTATTTTCGGACCCGGACGCCGTTTCCCTGTCACCTCTGCCACTGCCACTGCCTCTGCTACTGCCACTGCCACTGCCACCCTCACGCACGTGCCGCATGAGATGAGCTTGGTCTCGACTTGCCATTCATGCATGCATCATGCTGATCAGCCTCGTTCGCGTGGCCGCCACCACACTGATCCTTCCGTCTAGCCCATGCTGCTCCCACATCACACTCACACCCTCCTTTCCTCTTGCGCCGTGACATACCATCACCGACGCAGCCAGCCGGCTCTTACCGTCCATGTCAAGCATGGATGCTGCCGCCGTCTCCCTTATTCGGCCGTGGCTGCTTTCTTCGCGGGAGAGGCCATGCGACAATGCGCTTTTGAGGTCATATATCACTGGCTGCACTCCATCGATCATGACTATGTCGTGACCGTGAGAGAGCAGTGAGGCGAGGCGAGGCGCAGAGTTGTCCCACGTCGTAGCATCGCCAGCTGGCATCCTGTCATTGGCTTCCTGCTCGCCACAACAACGGACGAGCGACCCTTGAGGACGCCATGCAGCACTACGAGAAGGCTCTCTCGTCGTCGGTGGCAGCCCACGACTTGCTTTCGGATGGTGTCTTCTTCCGACACTTCCTCTTGTTTGTATACGACATCTGTATCCCCACAAGAGCAGGAGATGATAACAATACGAACATGTGGGCCGGTCATCTCACACATCTGCGTCTCTTGGCCATACAGCGACATCAGCTCCGAGGCCACGAAGCGCATGCTTACAGTTACACCCTTTGGACCATCTGTCAGCTCGACATGTACGCATGTCTCATGGGCAGCGGTGCTTGCGAGTTCGTCGAGACCATCACACGCAACAATATGCTCCCACCTCTAGAGCACCAAATTCCTCCAGTCTTATCACCCGGTACCAGCCCCTTCCATCCACACGAAGAATTGCAAATCTTCCCTGCAATCCTCCACTTGCACGAAGGCATCATCCTCCTCACCGCAAAACTCGCCCAAACCGCCCACAATTTCCGCACAGCCATCAAATCCCCCTCATCCCCCATCCCACCCTCCACTTACGCACAATGGCAAGCAACCACCTCATCCCTCCAAAACGACCTCCACACGTTCTGGCAACAAGCCTCCCACCCAATCACCCCATCCCCCGCCGACTCCCTCGCAGCCTCAACCTCCCTCCCACCCCGCGTCCGCCCCATCTTCGAAACCTCCCTCCTCCTCTACCACGCCGCCACCATTTACAGTCGCACCAGCATGTTCCCCAACCAACGCCACATCCCCAGCGCCTCGCAACACGACATCAACGCCGACACCGAAGTTCGCGCGCAAGCCATCCTTCACCTTGTGCAAAATCAAGCCTTCGCATGTCGAGATATGGTTTTTCCGGTTTTTATGGCCGGGGTCGCGAGTGCGGATTTTGGGGTTCAGATGAGGGCGGTGGAGTTGATGAAAGAAATTGAGGGGGAGGGGATTGGGGGGAATATTTTTCGGTTGAGGGTGCTTTTGGGGGAGGTTTGTGAGGAGCAGAGACGGGTGGGGAGGGGGGAGGGGGTGGAGTGGTTGGGTATTGCGAGGGGGAGGGGGGTGGGGGTTGGGAGTTGTAGGATTTAAGGAGAGTAGTATTTAGGGGGGGGGATGATAATAATAATAATAATAATAGGATTACTTAGTTAGCTTTAGGTAGAGGGATAATAGTATTAAGCACAGGATAGGATAGGATAGGATAGTAGAACGTGTGAATAGACGCTAGACTAGTTTAGATAAAGAAAGAAAGACAAAAATCAATCACACTGTGCAGGACAAATTTTTTTTTTCCCTTCCTTCTTTCTTTCCTTGCATCATTGTCAATTTCACTATCCATTATGATCATCTCCTTCCCCTCCCCCTCCCCCTCACAATTCCGTCCGTCTTTCTACCTCCGAGTCCCCAAGTCCCTCACAAATCCTTCTACCTCACAAGATTGCCTCCTCAAGAAGCCAATCCAATCATATACAAAACCCAAGTCCAGTCTTTCGCATTAAAATTCATTCCATGGATCTCGCATGGAAGCATAGATGCACTGCAAACCAGTCATCGGACAAACAGGAACACCACCACCACCACTACCACCTCCAAAGTCATTATAAACCCCCGAAATTTCGCCATGATAAGGATTCAATTTCCAGCCTTGTGGTGGTACGTAGTAGTATACGACTCCACCTCGTCGTCCATTCACATCATCGAAGACGTAATAAGGACTAAACACTCGTGGCCCCGACATCACCACGTCGTCCCAAGGATGAAAAAAGACTTGTGGTGGTGGTGGTACTCCTCGCAGTCCGGCGGGCACATCATCAAACGCATTCGGATGCACTTCCTCCCCATATTCCGCGGCTTGATGATGAGAGCCTTGCGCATCGGCTTCAGAACGCGTTCGAGCCGAAGCAGCAGGCTGTGAAGAAGCTTCAACAACATAACTATGACTAGCCCGAGTTTTCGTCTCCGCGTCCTCGAAAATAGAACCATAATTCGAACCATAATCTTTCTTCTGAGTTGCAGTTGCGTTCTTCTTCCTAGAAGATTTGCGGATGTTGTTGTTGTTGTTGTGATCGTGATAACTCATGATTTCGTGGCGATTGGATTAGATTAGATTAGATTTTCGGTTGAGGTGTGGTAGAATAGGAGGAGAGTGAGTTAGTTCAATAACCATCGGGTTATATGCTAGTTTCGAGACTTCTTCACTGCTGGGCTGTCTCTAGGAGGTGGCGAGAATGACGACGATGGGAATGGGAAATGATCATACAATCATTCTAGTGACTGACGGATGCACGATTCAATCCAATGCCATGTCATTCATATTCAGCTCAATGCAGTGCTATCCATCAAAGAATCACCCATTCAGTCATTTACACACGTCCGTCCGAAAGCTCCGACGCCGAGCGCCATCGCTCTAAGTCTACCAACAAACAAAAAAAGGGAATCTATGCATCCTCTGCTTCTACACGGCACAAAATCTCCTCGAGAAACCCCTCCAAAAGTCCTTCCACGCCATCGCCCATGCCAACGGGAGATACGCTGTCCCAGTGATCGATTTCCTTAAACAGCTTCGAGATCTTGCCCATGCACTTGCGTATCTGCTCATGTGCTTGCCGCTTGAGTACAAGCTCCTCTGCAGAAAGTGCTTGGCCATTGACGTCAGAAACACCAACACCGGATGCGCGACTCGTTTGTGAGGCATTATGTCTCTTTTGCACGAGGGACAGCTGGTATGCACGTCGATGTAATGCTGCCTCAAGAGCGGGTGTCACGACAGAGTTCAATGCGGTAATAGGCTGCTCCTGTCCATCCACCTGCTGCTCGTATTGTGGCTCCTGGTTTGTCGCAGGTGGTGTGGTGACGGAACTGATACTACTGCTCCGCGTCGCCTCGAGCGGTGTGGGCACAGCATTACTTAATCTCCTGTCAAAGGGCGTTTCGGGTTCTGCAATGGCTGTGGCCGCTTGCTCATTAGCAGCTGTCGACACTACGTGCGACGTGGGGTCGGGGTTCACGCCGGGTGGCGCAAATTTGGGCAAAGGCTTCTGGAAAAGGTCGTTCGTGATGCGGTTGTTCGAGGGCTGTCTTTGTGGCTGAGGGGGCCGTGCGTCAAATCCTATAGGCGTCGAGGCAGGCTGCTGTAGCTTCGGAGCTGCGATGGGCTGGTCTTTGATGGCCAGACCTTTCATGTACTGCGACATGTCCGATGCTATCGATTGCTGCAAGAAGTCATCATTGAGAAGTCGCGGCGATGCTGGTGTGGCCGGTGGCTTGGGTGATGAAGGTGTGGAGTCATGTCGAGGAGTTTGTGGTGGCGTCTGCACTACTGGTACGGGCTTCCGCGTGGGCGACGCCGGCAATGGGACTTTGGCTGCTGGGCCAGGTGATTGAGGAGGTGCAGCCCTTTTCGATGGTGATGGTGTCTTTGGAAGCGGTGGCGGCAGCATTGCGCCTCGAATAGTTCCTCGCTCCAAGTTCTCGCTGTCTTCCACGCCGAAGCTCTCCTTATTCAATGCGGATCGCTTGGGTGGAGACAGCTGCACAGGTGAGCTTCTCGAATTCATGCCCGACTCGTTCATGGCGCGAAGGCCAGGCATTGGATTTGCTCTTTTGCCCACCGGCCGCACGGTGCCAAAGTCCCACAAGTCCTCCTGCTCGCTCTGCCGTGAGGGTGAATCTTCTTCCACATCGTCCTCATCGTCGTCCTTATCCTCACGATGAGTTGCTTGCCAACGCTCATGTCTCTCAATCAGCTCCGTCAAGTATGCCGTCCGCTTCGCCTTCCGTATCCATGGATGTTTCAGAAGATCGCGGGCGCTCGGTCTCTCGCGCGGTTCTTTCCGCAGACACCTCCACACGAAGTCCTTGAACTCTTTACTGAAGTTGCCCTCGAGTAGAGGTGCGGGGTTCTTAGGAATCAGGAACAGCACCTTCATGGGATGTATGTCGCTGTATGGAGGTTCGCCAAGCGCCAGTTCCAGTGCAGTGATGCCGAGGGACCATATATCGGCTTTGTGGTCGTAGCCAGATTGCTTGATGACTTCAGGCGCCATCCAGAATGGGGTGCCGACGAATGTATTCTTTTTCGTCATTGTCGCAGTGAGCTGGCCGGAAACACCAAAATCCGCAAGCTTGACCTGTCCATTGGCGCCCAGGAGGATGTTCGCAGCTTTGATATCACGATGCAGTTTTCCGTCGCTATGCAGATACTCCAAACCCAGAAGCAGCTCTTTTACGATGATGCAGATGTAGTCCTCCGGTATTACGCCCGGTTTGAGCATGTCGCCGCAGCTGCCACCCGAGCAGAACTCCATGATGATCCACAAGTCGGAACCCTTGAGATATGAGCCGTAGTACTTGGTGACATATGGCGAGTGGAGACCCGACAGGATGGAGATCTCTTGAATGATATCGTCGACCTCATCGTCGGCGTTCTCGACATCGATAATCTTGATGGCCACCGATTGCCCAGTGCGCTTGTCGACGCCCTTGTAGACCTTGCCGAAACTGCCCCCTCCTATGCATGCCTGCTTAGTATACAATGCCTCGGGATCTGCGTTCTGGGGAGTGGTGGCCATGTTGGGATGCTGTGGCCGCGTGTGGTCGGGCGTGAATTAGGTAGGTGGGCAGGTGTTAAGCGAGAGTGCAGGCAGTGTGTTTGTTGTGTGCCTTCTGGTATGGTGCAAGAGCGCACGAGCAGGCAGCAGCAGCGCGTCAAACAATGCAAGAGAAAGAACGGCGCATACCAAGGCCAAGGCAAGGTGGGAGGGCGTGCGGAAATGGGTCGAGTGTCGACAGGCGCTGTGCAGCATTATTGCGGCATGGCAAAGGAAAGGAGGTGCGGCGGCGTGTCAGTCGCACAGCAGCAGCAGCAGCAGCAGCAGCAGCAGCATCAGCAGCACTCGGCCTGGCCTGACGTTCGTTCGTGCTGCGTGCGTGTGTGTGTCGCTGTGGGAGTCGGGTCTGAGCTCTGAGGGGCGGGCGGTTGTTTGGAGCAGGGGTGTCTGCGGTAAACATTCACCCCCAATTTCATGACGGCATTGATTGATTGGACCACATCGACCCGACGTGCCGCACGGCAACGACGCGACGCGACGCGACGATACGTTCGCTTGGCCAAGACCGCAAACCATTGATCGATCAGTGAAACACTCTGGAAATACGGTATACCACCATCGATATGTTCGTTTCACCGTGCGCGTGCCTGCTGGCTCTCGGCCTGTCCTCCCTTGCTTCGACCGCAAAACTGCCCCAAGAAACTCTCCAAGCCGAGGCGGAGTCGGAGCTCTCGCTTTTGCTCACAGACCATCTTATCGGCTTGCACAAGAAGTTGGTCGAGATCGAGTCCATTTCAGGGAACGAGAAAGCCATCGGAGATTGGCTGTCGGATAGCTTGGTTTCGCAAGGCTACCATGCCGAGAAGCAGTATCTATCCAAGCATCCCGAGCGATTCAATGTCTACGCATGGCCCGGCCATAACAGAGATGCTCCAGTAGTGCTCAGTAGCCACATCGATACCGTCCCACCGTTCTTGCCTTACAAGTACCACGAGAATGATGGCAATGCCACCATCTTGGGACGTGGGACCGTGGACGACAAGGCCTCCGTTGCCGCGCAGGTCATCGCGGTCAACAACCTCATCAATGCCAAGAAAATCAGTGCCGACGATGTGGCCTTGCTCTTCGTTGTCGGCGAAGAAGTAGGCGGCGATGGCATGCGTAAAGCAAATGATCTCGGTCTCACGCCCAAAGCCATCATTTTCGGTGAGCCGACAGAGGGAAAGCTGGTGTCTGGCCACAAGGGTGTCATGCAGCTGCTTCTCACGGCCAAGGGAAAGAACGGTCACAGCGGCTATCCTTGGCTTGGCAGAAGCGCCAACGAGATTCTTGTCAGCGCACTTTCCGCAATTATGCAACTTCCGGAGAAGCTGCCTCAAAGCGACAAGTATGGACAGACGACCTTCAATATCGGGCGCATGGAAGGTGGCGTTGCTGGGAATGTCATCGCCGAGTCGGCAACAGCTTCCATCACTATCCGCGTCGCAGCGGGCGACCCGAAAGATCTCGAGAAGACTATTACCGAAGCCGTGCATCACTCTGTTCGGGGCTTCCTGGAGCATCACTTGGAGCCGGAAGATGTCATTGACGTCGACTTTGCTACGAGAGGATATGGGCCAGTGGACATCGACGCTGATGTTCCAGGCTTTGACGTCTTTACTGTCAACTATGGTACGGACATCCCAAACTGGGACCAGACCGACAAGCATCAAAAGCGCTACCTGTACGGCCCCGGCACCATCTTTGTGGCACACAGCGACCACGAGGAGATCACAGTGAAGGACCTTGAGACTGCCGTGGACGACTACCAGAGAATAGTACTTCATGTACTCGGCAAGTCGGACAACGCCAAGCAGGATTTGTAGACTCAGCTCGATAGAGGCTGCAGCATCACGATCGATGGCATGCAGTTATGATATAATGACAATCTACCAAGGGCTTTACCACGACGCCATCACAACAATACACGGCCATATGCGTTAGATTTCGACCTGTCAAGTCTCGTTGCAAAAGCATAATCTGGATAGAAGAAACCTCGACTACGGCAATACGACGTTGGAACATGAAGTGCATGTGAATGACTAACCATTGTCTTCGCAACAGCGCGGTTGACGTGGGGAATAGCATAATTTGTTTGCTATAGAGGCTAAGAAGAAGGCAATTACAGCATGCTATACGTAAGACCTTTTTCTTCGCTTACCTATTAGTAGGAGGTCTTTACCTAGGTACTGTCTCCTTGTAATTACTAATCGTTAAGGTTACTAATATAGGACCTATATAGATTTATATCTAGAAATCGTTCGAGCGTTAGGTTACGAAAACTACTTCGAGAGTAATTTAATTAGCTAGGTATCGTATATACTATAGAATTTAAAACCGAACGAATAAATAAAAATCTACGCTCCGAACCTTAGGTAGTCTATAATATAAGCGAGTATTATAGAGCTAGAAATATCGGTAGTCCTTATCCTCGAAAGCTCTATCTCTAATATCTATAGCTCTCTAGTATCTATATTAATCGACTATTAGACTTCCCTCTACCCCTTTAAGTAAATATCCGACCTAGACCTCGCCCTAATACTCCCCTAAATCGACCTCCTTTAGAGTCCTATAGTACCGTACTATCCTATCTTATAGTCTTACTACTCTTCTTAGAAGTAATCTGCCTTATTAAACCCTTTAGGCAATTAGTAGCCTAAAATATACCCTCTAGTAAATCTTCTATCCTAATTATATATATCCCTATTCCTCTAAAAAGATATATCTTTCTATAAGCCTAAGTATTATTTTCCTAGATAGCGGTAGCTATATCCCTCGGAAATTTCTAAAGAGGCTAGGCTACTAGGTAGTCTAGGCTATCTATTAAGATTATATATACTAGTTACTATATATAATATAATAACAACCTAAAAGCAAGTAGTAGGACTAGGGAAATTATATATAGGAACTTTAAAATTCGTAGATACTCTCGCTAATTCGCGGGCCTCGCCGCCGCCTTAGTCCTTTAGGCTTCGATAAACTTCGAAATTCGTATAAGGAGCCGCCCGGACGTTACGTACGGATATAAGCGCTACCGCCGGATACGTACAAAAATCCTAGGGCTTATAGAGCCGCCTAGACGGCCGATATATTTAGGTTTATAGGAGGGAACTTGAAACGCGCGTATTTTTAAACCTAAGTAATAGTATCTATAGCGATTAGTACTATCCGATTATATAGTTATAGATATCTCGCTATAGATAGTACTAATATGGAAGTACTATACGAAATACTTATAGTTTTCCGCTAATTCGCGGGCCTTACTACTACCTAAGTCCTTCGACGAACCTCGAAATTCGTAGGAGGAGCCGCCTAGACGTTACGTATAGATATAAGCGCTACTGCCGGGTATATATAAAAACCCTAAAGCCTATAGAGCCGCCTAGACGGCCGGTACGTTTAAATTTATAAGAGAGAAACGCGCGCGTTGTTAAACCGAAGTAATAGTACCTATAGCGATTAGTACTATCTAAAATACTTATAGTAGATATAGCAGTCCGAAACGCCTATAGTAAGTATACTCGGAATAGGCTTATAGCAAGTACTATCTAGATTGCTTATAGTAAGTACTATCCGAAACTCCTATAGTAATAGGTACTATTTAAATTTTAGAACGCTTATAGTAGGTAGTCGTAGTCTAAAGTACTTATAGTAAGTAGTTAGTACTATCTAAAACGCTTATAAGTAGGCCTAATCTAAAACGCGTATAGTAAGTTATATAAACTTATATCTAAAACGCTAGTAGTAATATTAATCCGGAACGCGTTATAGGTATTAGGAAGTACTATTCGGAAACGCTTATAGCGAGCACTATCGGAAACGCTTATAGCAAGATATTCCGAAACATTTATAGTAACTACTTCCGGAATACGCCTATAGCAATTACTATCTAGAATACCTATAGCGAGTACTATTCGAAATATCTATAGTAAGTAGTTCTTTCTAAGTCGGAACGCTTATAGCAAGTACTATCTATAGGGCGTATAGTAAGTCTAATTAAAAACGCTTATAGTAATCCTAATCTGAAACACTTATAGGAATTCTAATTTAGAACGCTTGTAATACTAGGTACTATTTAGAACGCGTATAGTGTGTCTAATCCGGAGCGCTAGTAGTTAGTACTACTATCTATAACGCCTATACTTATTACTAAGTTTTATTTAGAACGCGCTATATAGTAATTCTAATCCCTAGCGCTTATACTAAGTCTTATTCGTAACGCGTATAGTAAGTCTAATTTGGAACGCTAATAGTAAGTGCTATTTAGAACGCTTATAGTAGGTAGTACTATCTAAAAGACCTATAGTAAGTACTATTTAGAATACTTAAAGCAAGTTATATAACTCCTATCCGAAACGCTTATAGTAAATACTACTAAAAACGCTTATAGCGAGTAGTAATATTCGAAACGCTTATAGCGGTAACTGTGTTAGAGGTTACACGTAATTAGCATTTAACTAGACCGAGTAAAGCTAGGGTCCTTATACCTTAGGTAGGGCTTGGCGCTTAGCGTTAGGCTAACTAGCCTGCCTTCCTCCCTCTTCTCTTAGATCTCTATCGAATACTATACTAATTCACTACTACCCTATCTACCTGCTAATATAACCCTTCTTATACATTATTCGATCTACCCTTTAAGGGCAGCAGCTAGATAGTCCTTATTTTAAGCTTTTAGCAGTATAGCTACGAAAACCGTTAATCTAACTATATTGCGCCCGAGGCGGGATCTATACGTACTATTCTATTAGAATAACCGTACTAATTATCAAGCAAGGCCTTCTATACGGCCTATTATACTAAGTCAATTGCACTAGACCGATACTCGCTAATTCCGCTATATCCGTACTATAGGGGCCTATAATATATTATTAGTGTTACCCCTTATTATAATAGCCGGCTTATTACGAAGCAATAACAACAACCGCGGCGCCGCTAGTAGCGCTAGCAATAATAACTCTAGTAGCATACTGCCTACTAAAGTGCCTCCTACTAGAGACCCTACTAGAGGGCCTACTAAAGAACCTATAATCGAAGGGAATAACCTATCGTTGCCTGTTAACGATATTCTTAGTAACATTGTTAATCGTCGATACGACCGACTAGCTTTTAGCCCCTAGCTAGTAGCGAGACTTTAAGAAGCTACCTAGAATAGGCTTACTGCTCTACGCTAAGAATAATAGCTAAAGGATAATCTTCTCGAGATTTGCCGCCTATAGGAGTCCCTAATAACTAATGCTAGACTAGTAGCACGGCCTTCCTTACTAGCTATTTAAAAGAAGGATGCTAAACTTAAGGACTATACTGTGTTTAATAGCTCTAGTCGAAAGCAATATAACGACTACATTCGTAACTGTAAGCTTAATTAGCGAAACGCACTAAGGGCCCTTCTAGACGATTACTCGTTAGTCGTCTATACTATATAATATATTAATAGAGACCTAAAACGTACCTAGGATAACTATTTTGACTCCCTTAATAATTAGACCGCTGTTTAGTAGCAGGACTATAAGACTATTATACTAGACACCCTTAGAAACCCTATACTAAGGCAATAACACGCTTAGGACTAGTACCTTCGAGCTAAACAAAAGACTAATTAATCGGCTCGCTTATTCGAGGCCTATTTAAAGACTCTTAAAGACGATCTTCCGGCTAAGGCTAATTCTATATAGATCTCCGAAATACGCCTAAAGCTTAGATAGGAGCTTATCCTAGAATTGGACCGTCGCCGTATATTTAAACAGGCTAATCTAACACGTATTTAATTTATAGTCGAGGTAGAAACAGCTAAACGAGCTGTCTAGCTCTAGTAACGACTAGAATCGAGGATCCGACTAGCTAGTACTAACCGCGGTAACTGTAGTGCCCGTAGAGGCAATAGCTAGGGTTCCTAATAGAATAATAACGCTAATAATAGGAATAGTAACAACGACCGTAGAAGAGGCCGTAGCCGGCGGCTATATAGAGGAGGCCGCGATAGGGGCCGTAGAAGGGGCTCGTATCCCTATAGTACTAACCGCTCTGCTAATAACAACAGCTATAGCAACCTCCTAACCGGATTAAAGTGCTTTAACTATAATAGCACTAGCTATCTGCTAGGCTAATACGACAAACCTAAGGACTAGGCCCGAATCGACCGTACTACCGCTAAGTACTAAAGGAACCTCTTAGTAGCTAACGCTACCCCTATAGGCTAACCTTCTAATTAGTCGAAAAAAGATTAGGCGCCGCACTAACTATTAGCCTCGTACGGCGTAAAACTATCGATATTATACTAGCTATTATACGCGCCTACCTTATATAGGACACGTATAGTACTAACTATAAGACTAAGGTTATACTAGACCTAGGAGATTCAGTTAGTGCCCTTATTAGCTATCGCCTAGCTAAGTAGCTACTAGACCTTCGATAATTAAATAGGGCTAACCTACTAACCCTTGCTTAGTTTAATAACGCTCGGCACTTAACCTATAGGGCCTACTATATTCCTATAGTTCTAAAGGACAACCTCGGAAATAAACGCCTACTAGACTTTACTACCTACGTAGTAGATATAGACAACCTATATAGGGGAGCTACTATTATTATTAGCAACCCTGTCCTTAAGCACTACGCTATAACTATAGACCTAGGCAGCTAATAGTAGCGATTTAGAATCGCTAGGAAAGAGGATATTAAGCATATCGACGCTAGCAAGTGCCCTAATAAAATTAGGGTCCTATTTATCGGCAACCTAACACCTGCCGTAGCTAACCTAATAGTCGACCTATTAGGTAATAACGATAGGCCTATGCCCCCTAATAGCATAGACCCTAATTAGCTTGCT